CATTGTCATTATTATTACAGTCATTATTATTACTACAATTTTCATCATTTTATTATCATTATCATTATTACTATTGCTATCGCATTTATTATTTATAACTATTGCTTTCATATTTATCATTATCATTATCACTATTGCTATCATATTGATCCTTATCACCATTACTATTATCACCACCGCCATCATCATCGTCATTATTATCATCCATTCATTTATCTTTCTTAGTATCCAAATGCACACAAACCCAAATGTAAATTACAATAATACATAACAAGGCACAGAATACATTCTCTACAAACTATATTATTTAATCCGTATCTTACTCGTACAAGAGTTATTCCACTACATCATAAGAATAACGAATACTTATCTGTTTGAGCCTTTGGTTGGTCTCGAAAAAGAGTCGTAACTATTTATTTCTTACGTTTTTATAATTTAAAAAAAATAAATAATCAGTAAAAATTATGATTATGTCTAAATCTCTGCATTTGTGTGGTCTTGCTTGTTCATATATCCTTAATTCAAATAATCGCACTTTGTATTATCTTTATTTTACATAATTATTATTATTATAATTATTTCTATCATTATACTCATAATCATTATGATTATAATTATGATAATATTGATTACGATTAAGATTATCATTATTTATTACTATTATCATTATCATCATATCCTCATTAATATTGCTATTATCATTGTCATTATTATCAGTCTTTATTATCACTATTATCATAATCATCATTTTATTATCATTATCATATTATTATCATTATTACTATTGCTTTCTTTCTATCATTTTTTACCATTATTATTATCATTATTATCATTATCAATAAAACTGTGATAATCATAATTACTACCATCATTATTATTGCCATCCTTAATATTGTCACCGCCGCCACCACCACAGTCATCTTAACTATCATATTTATCGTCATCACTCATTTAGATAATAAATAACAAACCAGAAAATAGATTTAACTGATTTAGTCTTTTTACAAACTATGCTATTTAAATCAAACTCGAACAAGTAGAGTAATAACGAATAACGAATAATTGATTTGAGCCTTTGGTTGGTCTCGAAAAAGAGGCTTAATTTATTTCTTACAATTTTATAATCATGGTAATATAAATAATCAGTAAAAATCCTACCAGGGTCATGAAAATGTATGTATTATTCTTTTCGTGTTTGGACTACAATGGGAACAAGTCAGTCGTACAATGCATTGCAGAATAAACATAACAAGTGCCAGCACATGCCCTTGATTTTGCAATAGCTGAGACTGAAGTGAAATCAAGGAACAGTTGATATTCTCAAAACAAAAATACAAATAGTGTTCCCTTCATTGTAATCAAAACAGGAAACGAATATTGCAAATTCGGGTCACGTTTGCATTGCAATGATGCTATTTGGCATAACAGCAAATGCAGCGAGAAACGTGATTTGGAATTATAAACTAAGTTATTAAAACGGATAAGTTCCATGTTTCGCTCTCTCTCTCTCTCTCTCTCTCTCTCTCTCTCTCTCTCTCTCTCTCTCTCTCTCTCTCTCTCTCTCTCTCTCTCTCTCTCTCTCTCTGCATGTGTGTGTATGTGTCTATATATCTGTGTTATTATGCAAAGTAAAGCAAAAAAGTGAAGCCGTAACAATAATAAAGAGATGAATTATTCGACAGGGTTTGGCTGTGCAGGTGTTTTGAATTGGAATTGTTATGTAAGGGGTACCTGACCAGATTTGAATTTTGTTTATACAGATCGAAATGTGCGTCTGAGGTCAGATGTGTGTGTGCATATATATACATATGTATAGACACACACACACACAGACACACACACACACACACACACACACACACACACACACACACACACACACACATATATATATATATATATATATATATATATATATATATATATATATATATGCACACACATATATGTATTCATATATAAGTATGTATAACCATACATATGTGTATATATTTGTATATATACTTATATATATGTATACACACACATATGTGTATATATATATATACATATATGTGTGTGTGTAGATAGATGAATATATACATGTATATGTATATATGTATAATGCATATATAGACATACATATATATAAACATATATAATATATATATATATATATATATATATATATATATATATATATATATATATATATATATATATATACTCCTAAGTGCGTGTGTGTGTGTGTGTGTAAATGTGAAGGGTTGGCAGTTGAAAGGGCATCGTACTGTATGAAAAAAAAAATCCTGCCAAAGAACTACGATGTAAATTAACGGTGGAAAATATACCAGCAACGCACCGTCAACCCTGTTTAATAACCAGAAAAAAAAATCAAATTCCTCCTATGGTGCATCCAGTTTCAGGAAATAACGAACTGGCAACTCAACACAGCACACTCTGGGGCACTCCGATTCGCCCAGCCCTCTTTTTATCTGAAGTAGCTGACACAATAGTCATA